AATACTAAACCTATAAATATATGCATGTAGATCTATTTCCTCACCATCCTATATAAATATATTTACATATGTACATGCCTGTATTTAGATCTCTATAAAACCCTTCGTCTCCTAGTTCTTTTCTGTATTTCCTTTTACTTTCCTCTTGTCTCACTATCATGCTCAGCCTTCATTTGGGTTTCAGTAATTTCTCTCGGTTACATTGCCCTTACCAGTCCTCTCATACCCTCCTTGCCACTAATTTGGATCACTTGTTGCTCCCTTGTCCCTGGGTTGGTCAACACCACCTCCTTACCCCTGCCTCCCTCTCTCCCAAGTCCCCCCGGAACCATTGGTCCTGTTGTTTTCTCCTCCAGACTGTTCACCCAGCCTATCTTATCTAGGTAGATCTGCAGAGATAATAATATGCACCTAAAAAACAAGACATAGCAAGACAAAGCGACAAAAGAGAACTCAATGATGACAACAAAATAGAAAAACCAATGACCCATGAAAGAATAAATTAATTAAAAATGTTTAAAAAATTTTAAAAGCAAAGTTAAACCTGTAAATCAAGGTCTGATTTTTGACCTCTTGGCATGTCCTCCAGTCAAGTCTGATGGGGTGCCACGCTGTGGCCCCCGAGTCTATCATTTGCACTCCCTCAGGAGCTCCCTGCTCTGCTCCCCCAGTTGCCCTGCCGTACATGCCTTTAGTGTTTTGCCTTGGTGTCGCAGGGTCAGTCCAGGCCAATACCAACACTGAGTTCCCAGTGTTGTCCCCCGTAGGGCCATAGGTCAGCGAGAGATGTCGTGTCTCATAGTGGGATCAGCCATGTGGTCCACTCTGTGCATTGGCTGTTCGGAGCTGGACTATCGTCCTCCAGGCCTGGTGGGCCAGGTTGTGCTCCACTCTCTCTTCCACCCCATTCATTTGCTCCCGTGTGCTCTGATCAGACATGTCCCTCTCCCCTAGCTGCAGCTTCAGTGCCGTCCTCTAAAGTAAATTCTTCTGGGGGGAGGGGCAGTTGTCCACGTAGCTGGTATGGGGGCCGAGCCCCATTGTAATATTTTTTCATATTCCTACGTTTTCAGCACTCTTCATATCGGCTGCCTTTTATGTTATGTTGATGTATAGTACTATCCTTCCATTATTTCTCTTCATGTGCATTTAGGGTGTTCCTTATTTTGCTGCTACAGTTAATGCTGTAATGAACATCTTTGTGACTTGATTTTCAGCCCTTTTTTAATGCTCACAAATTTTGAAGTCTAACTGATGCAAAAATTTTAACTTTCCAGAAGCAAGAGAAAAAGAGGAAGACATGAACAGGGAGAAAGAATTAAGAAGGCCAAATGAAGATACGGAACCAACATCTTCGGGCTTACATGTAGTCAGAGATAGCTCGAAATCATCCTCCAGGTATCTGATTTTCTCAAAAGGGTTCTACAAACCATCATTTTCTAGGTACTTATAACACATTTAGGCAAGGCTCCTTGTATTGAAAGCTGCACACTCTGTCCCATTTCAGGCAACTGTATATATCCCGAGGGCCTTGAAAAGGTTCTTGCTCACATTATAAATATGTGAGTTTTTCTAACGCATTCCAGATGTACGATTAAAAATCCATGCTTTCTTGGCTGCTGAGCAAAACTATATAAAGTTGGAAAGATGTTGACAAGTTTGCACTATTTATCATGTTTATTTTGGCATTTACATCTTTTGTCTTATTATTCCCAAAATTCTGCATTCATAATAATCTTTTCTTGCTAGGCTCCTTTATAGAAATGGATACTAGGAACAAATATATTTAGTTAGAAGAGAAAGCAGCCATTAAAATAATTTCACAGTGAAATTTAATACTAAGTACCTTAATTTATTTTTAAGAACTTTAAAGACATAAACAGGTATATGGATATCCAATCTGGTTAAAATAATAAAACATAATTTAAAAAATGTAATATTGGTTAGTTTTATTTTTAATTGTTAAATTGGTTCCATAAACTATTTCTTAGTCAAATATAATGTGGTGCAAAAACAAAACAAAATAAAACAAAAAAACCTATCCTGACATTTCTTCTGTTGTTAGTAGGACAAAATAAAATAGCTATTCCGGGAACCCAAGAGGCAAGCGAATTTTGGGAATGGTGAGGGCAACAAATGTATAGATGTGCTCTACACAATTGATCTATGTTGTATTAGTCTGGGTACTTTGGAGAAACAAATCCACAGCAACTCATGTATAAGAGAGAGTTTTATGTAAAGAAAATGTGCATCA